GAACAATTCGGGGGGGTCTCTTCTCCCCAGAGACCACCCTGGGGACACGGCGGTGGCCCTGGGGGCATCGGGGGGGATTGGGGGGCAGTGACAGCGGGGCGGTGACAGCGGGGCGGTGACAGCGGGATGGTGACAAGTGACAGCCCCACGGGCAGTGACAGCGGGGCGGTGACAGGGGGGTGGTGACCAGTGACAACCCCACGGGCAGTGACAACCCCGCGGCTGCCCGGGGGTGTCCCCGGGAAGGGGGGTGGTCCGTAACCCCTCCCCATGGACCCCCCAAATCCTCTCAACCCGTCCCCCGTGTCCCCCGTGTCCCCTCCCGTGTCCCCCCCATGTCCCCCCGTGTCCCCTCATGTCCCCTCATGTCCCCCGTGTCCCCCCATGTCTCTCGTATCCCCCCGTGTCCCCCGTGCCCCCCCGTGTCTCCCCATGTCCCCCCTGTTCCTCCTGTCCCCCCGTGTCCCCCCGTGTCCCCCGGTATCCCCCGTGTCCCCCCGTGTCCTCCCATGTCCCTCGTGTCCCCCCCGTGTCCCCTCATGTCCCCCGTGTCCCCTCATGTCCCCCTGTGTCCCCCGTGTCCCCCGTGTCCCCCGTGTCCCCCGTGTCCCCCCATGTCCCTTTGTGTCCCCCATGTCCCCCCATGTCCCCCCGTGTTCCCCGTGTTCCCCGTGTCCCCCGTGTCTCCCCGCAGCCGCATCGCCTGTTACGTCACCGTCTTCCAGAACATCTCCAACCTCCGCGACGTTTTCTACAAGGAGATGAGCAAGGTGGGGTTTTTTTTGGGGGGAGAACCCCAAAACACCTCCCTCCGCCCCCACCCAGTGTCCCCCAGGTGCCTCCAGTGTCCCCCAGTGCCTTCAGTGTCCCCCAGTGCTCCCCCAGTGTCCCCTCAGTGTCCCCTCAGTGTCCCCAGTGTTCCCAGTGCCCCCCCAGTGCCTCCCCAGTGTCCCCAGTGCCCTCCCAGTGCCTCCAGTGTCCCCCCAGTGTCCCCCAGTGTCCTCAGTGTCCCCCACTGTCACCTAGTGTCCCCCAGCGTCCCCCAGTGTCCCCCCAGTGTCCCTCCAGTGTCCCCCAGTGTCCCCCAGTGTCCCCCAGCATCCCCAGCGTCCCCCCAGTGCCCCCCAGTGTCCCCCAGTGCCCCCCCGAGTCCTGGCTCTTCTTTTAATTCATTAATTTGGGGCGTCTTGAGGATTTTTTGAGGAGTCCCCAAGTGAGAGGGGGCCCCTCTGAGCTCTCAGATGATGGGGGGCACCCGGGGGGACCCTCTGAGCTCTCAGATGATGGGGGCACCCGGGGGGACCCTCTGAGATCCCGGGGGATGGGGGGCAC